TAGTATCCCCTTTCTTATTTTTGAGCTGACTTGGTATAAGGTGTGGGTGAAACTTCCAACAAGTATCTCTTGTATGCTTAGGCTTCTTACAGTGGTCATTAGAGTAAATCCTTCTTGTCCTCCTTCCTAGCATCACTACCACCTTTATCCCCATCTAGCTTAGGTTTCACTATGCTGACTATAGCCAAGGTTCAAAGTATATCGGCCAATATGTATCGTGCCGGGAGCTTCCCGATATGCCCCTATAGGGGTTGTATCGGGTTAGACCATGGTTTAGAGGGTAGCCAGGACTTAAATTGACCCCTCCGAAGTTTTGAAAAAAAAAACATAAAAAAAAGCACCGACACGGGCGTATCGGCTTGTGTCGATATTTAGAACCTTGACTATAGCCGATTGCTCAAGGTTTAAGTTTTATATCATCACATTCTTCCTCTCTTCTCTAGACGCAAAAGCATGTGCTTGAGAGGGAGTTACACTATCACAGAGAGAACATACTATCGTGCAATGTCATACTTTGGGTTGACATTGTAGACATTCATTTAAGGCATCTTTACTACTTTCCCAAATGATATGTGGCCGCATCTTTACTACTTTCCCATATCACAATCTCCAAATGATCTATCTCCTACTATAAGGTTTTGACTTTTGAGGGCTGAAAAATAAATTGCAGTAGATTTATCTCCTACTTAGTAGAAATCACCTGATTCCTCAACTGGTAGGCCGTAGCAACATTCTCACTTTGTGAGTAAATTTCTACAACTAATCCTAGATCTCCTTAGCTTTGTTAGCGCATAAAAATTTCTTGTTTATATGGGGTAACATAGAATTGCACAGCCAGGTCATCACCATGTAATTCTCCTATACCCTCCAGGAAAAATTAGTCTCAAGCTTATTCTCTCCACTGGTGACAAACCCTAAATTTCCTCGTGCACCAATAGTCACTTTCGCTGAGTGGGACTACTCCACGTAGCTTGTGCCATCCAACTTAACTGTAGTTATAGTTTCTACCCAAAAGGGTTACTAGCACCTACTCCACCTAGTCCTATTTCACCTGTGGTCTTGTATTCAACTCCACTACCCTCCATAATTTCCTTAATAGCTTAGGAAATCAACTGTAGATGAGGAAAAATAGATGTACCCCCATTAGAGGCCTAAACCACCCTTTTGGTACCTGGAAACCTTCGCTCACAAAGATTCCTTTCTTTGTGGGAGCAGGTAGAAAGAGGAGAAAAGGCTGCTGCTCCCTCTAGAGACCTTAGGAAATTCCAAAGTTTGAAACACCCTCTTCAGAAATCACCAAGAAATCTAGAAAATCCAGAGCACCCCTTCCTAGGTCAAAATTGAAGAATCTTGATGATGTCTGATCTGAGGTGTTTCGAATGGAGGACACAATCAGATAATCTTGCCAATTGGATGAGGCTGAGGTGGAAGGACAAAGTCGCACACTAAGATTTGCAACCAGGAGAAAGGTCAGAGGCCCGAGGAGTTATTCCTCGGGTAGGTACTTCGACGCTCAAGTTAGTTTGGTAGAGAAAGAGGTGGCCGGGCCGAGCAGGTTGAAATAATGCTGGTCCGGGCCGAAGAGGTAGTGTAGAGAGGTATTCAAAGAGTGTTCTTCCAAAAGTCCCTTACCTCGAGCGGTGGATACCTATTTATAGTTGGGTGTTCGTGTTCTAGATGGATAGGGCTTCCAAGGTTGTCGGGATGAGGTCGTCCGCCGAGGTCTTAAGGAGGTTTCCTCTTCCCTAGCGGAGTCCGCTTCCTTGTCTATGCAGGATACTCCTCCTTAGTCATGCTCTTCCGTTACACGTGGTGTCGATGTGGCCAGAGAGAGAGGACAGCCACGGAGATTGCCATGTGGCATCCTTGGCCAGCGCAACCATCACCTGAACAAATCCTATTGAAATCGGGAGTCTTCTTCCTCTAGTTCTTTTGATTTCAATGATCAACCCATGATCTGACACAAAGGGTTCTAGATCCACAAAAAAATCCAATAACTGGGCATTTTTGAAGTCTTCAATCAGCTTTCTAACTCACCATGCAGTTGGCTGATCTAGGGCTGCATGATGGAAGACTCAAAAAATCCCAAAAGACTGCTCTAATACCAAGTAGAAAAGAAAGAACAATAATCTGATTTGTTAACAGTGAGAAAGAAGAGAGAAAGAGACAGAGAGATCTTAGTGAGAAGAGAAGAAGAGATGGAGAGAAGCCAATAATGATCTGTCTGCCCCAGTCATCATCTTATATACTTGTAAAAAAGATTGATTACAAAGACTAAAAATGCCCTTAATGGGGCGGCTACTGTTCATAATATAAAATTAGCTCCAAAATAACAACATAAGTTAATAGGCCTCGGGTCCAATTACACCAAGGACCCAATAACACTGACTAATGATCATAAGCAAGAAGATTATAAGAAACTGCTGTATCTCAGCAATATCAACAATAAGTCTGGACAGAACATACAAACTGGCACTCCTTCAAGTTTCTCTTCTTCTTTTCTATATTCTTCAATGATTGATTTGACTTAGAAGGCATCCTGATGAGCTGGACAAGTTCTCTAAATGTATTGGTATTATTTGGGATCAGTTCAAGGATCAATGCGATTGTGTAATTTTCTAATCTCCCTCAGGAGTCTACGAGTTGTTATTACCATGTGTTATTCTGTAGAACACAAGAACCCAGCCCATAAGAAAGTTACTGTGCCCACATTCTTGTGAATCACCAGCTTTTCCGATCTATCAAAAGTTTCCCAAAGCTCCTTCCAAATAGCCCAACAGTTTTCAAAGGGAATCAAAGATCACAAAAATCTCGTTTGTAGGAATTTGGAACCGGCCATCCCTTTTTGTTTCAGTGATTTGGTGGCTCTATCATTGCACTTGGGGTTTTTGGTTAGGTGAGGGTGGAAAAGGAAAAGGGAGGGATGGAAGGTTAGAGAGAATTGGGGGGGGGGGTCATTAATCTGTTTTTATGGTAGAGTTATTATTCAAAACTCCCTTTCCCTTTTTGGCCAATTCTCATAAAGTCACCCTTACTTTTTGAAACCTCCAGAGAACCCCCTGTCAGATATTGCTGCTAGGACATAAATGGTTTAGGTGAAGTCTTTTTTTTTTTGGTGAAATGACCATAAAATCCCAGTTACTCCATTCAAAAGTAAGACTAAAGTTGGGTGGTTTTGGTTTATGGTAGGGAGTAAACTTGATTTCTAACACCCACGATCTTGATATACGGCCCAGTTCTACTTCCTTCAGATTTCAAGCTTCCTAACTAAAACCTAGTTTTGTTAATCTTTGTAACTCTCTCTCTCTCTCTCTCTCTCTCTCTCCCTCCCTCCTAAAGCCGATGGTAGAGAATTTTTTAATTGAGCCCACATCTGCTGTGGCTACAGTCAAACTCTTTTTTAACTCTGTCTACAATACCTGTCAGTCGCAGCCCATCTCCTAGTCTAGAAATGCTAATACCAAGCTATCTTGGGCCGATATTTGTTGAACCAAGAAACATTGGGAATTGACATGCTGTATCCAAGTGATTTGGCACCTAGAAGAGCGTATTCTCATGGAGATACATAGTTAATCTCTTGACTAGTCTCCTCTTTTTCTTTTTTTTACTTGTTACCCACAGTTGCATCTTTTACAGTTGTGATTAGTCTCTTCATCCTGGAGATCTCTTCTGAATTTGGATCTTATGACAGGCGACTGGAGGATAGAGACTAAAGGCTCCAGCCCTTTTATTTCTCTTTTCTGTTTTAATCCTTTTTTTCCTCTTCTTCGTTAGTTAGATGACAACCTTTGCACTTACAATAGATTTTGGCTTGTATTCCTCTCATTTTATCAAGTGGATTAGAACTGTGAGAGAAATTAATTAGAGAAGCAAAATCTACAGTTTTAGTAGCAGCATTATGAAGGCACCGATGGGTGTTTTTTTTTACCAAGATTGGATCTGATCCATTGTCTTCTTCGTTCATGTTATTGGGTTGGTATGGCATCCTTTAATCTGCTAGTAAAATAGTTCAAAAAGAGTAGTGCTGAGATAACATAGAGGTTATTTGTCTCACTCTCAACAATTGGTTGGATAAATTGGCCCGATAGGATCCAAGACTCTTGGTGATCCATTAGCTTCCATGATTGCCCAATCTAGTCAAGTGGAAGACACTCTGCTGTTAGTCTTTTTCTGTTGATCTGATCCAGTTGTGTTGCAGATTATTTTTTCTTTTTTTTACTGTTCTGTTTCAGAATTTTAATAATGTCAACCTTAACACTTGTGTATGATATTGTGACAAAAACTAAAAGCTTTAAGTAACTGCATATGCATCCATAAAAGAAAAAGGAACTGCATGTATATGCAACAGTTTGCATCAGATATCTGTCAAGAAGAAGATATAGAAAGTGAATGCTACAATCCATACAAAGAAGCTTTCAGTAAGTGCCTAAATGGGCAGTTGGAGTTGAAACTCCAGAATAGTATCTAACTCTGATTTCCAAACTGCTCTACTGATAAAGGTGCGTCTTGCATTTTCAAAGTACTAGTTCTAAAACCAGTTTTGGAAATGAAGAAGGGACTGGGTGGTCAGGGTTAATAATGGACTGGTTGAGCAGGGTTATTTTTGTCATTAAAAATGATTATTGCTTAGGCCGACAATTTCTGTTAATGGTCACTAATGGTGACCTGATGGAAGGTGAGCTTTAGATATGAAAAATCCTATGACAGGGGGCCCTCTGGAGGTTTTGAAAAGGCAGTGAATTTAGAGGGGAGTTTTAGATAATAACCCTTTTGGTATAAAGGGGGTTGCATTAATTGTCTTAAAGATTACACTTATTGAAAATAAGTTCAACAAGACAGACAAACCCTGTGCATGCTAGAGAGAAACCCTATGACATCAAAATTTTAGAAAACTTATGTAGTTTGATGTTTTTGGTGCACTATTATTTTTCTTCCCTGTGTCTATGAGCAAATATGCTAGTTCTTTTATTTAAGAGATCTTTTGATCTTTATCCTTGCAGGACAGTTCAGTTGTGAAATTGAACAGGATGGGAAGGTCCATCTTCGAGGGGTGACAGTGACCGGTGAGAAATCTATATTGAGGCATTCACGTGTTTTCCAGATGAAGACGCAGTCCCTGTGCCCACCTGGACCATTTACAATTTCGTTCAGTTTGCCAGGCCCTGTTGACCCAAGACTGTTTTTACCGGAATTCAGATCAGATGGAATTCTTGAAGCTGTTGTTATGAAATACAGAGTACTAAATGCTCAGTTTCCCAGCTGATTGTTGTCCCCATCTGTGGTATCAAGCTGCTGAACTAATTATCATACATACATATTCATATGCAATCAGATAATTTGGATGTCATATTTGGGGAAAACTGACGCCAGAGTAAACATAAGTTTTGAACCAAGCCCGAGGAAGCTGACCAGGATTTAGGAGAGGTAATTCCTTATCTGTTTATGTGTTTTATTATTTTGTGGGTTACTATCAATCCAATTTTGTAAATTACCATGTACTTCTCTGTGTAGATATCTCCATATTTAATATGGAGACTCTTTAACTTGAAAGTTTAGTGTAGTATGTTTTTGGAATTTTTTAGGATCCTCTCACACATCTATGCATGCATGTGCATAGAGATTGCCACAGACACAAAACTTATTTACACAATAAATTGAAGGCTTGTGACCAAATTAAGGAACTACAGCTATTACGGGATTGAGCCATAACTCCATTTTGTACTTCTGTTGACATGGCAAACCAGATAATAGAGGAAATTACTAGAGCATAAAAACGAGAGAAAGTAGATTGAGATGGTTGTCATGTGCATAAAAGATCATCTACAGCGCCTGTTAGAACTGATCTGTTACAAGTTGAAGGGCTAGAAGAGTTGGGAGTAGACCAGAAATGACTTGTATGGATGTGCTAAAAGTGGTTTAAGCAGACCAGAAATGTGCTAAAAATGATTTAAGCACCCATAATTTAATGATGGATATGGCACTGTATCGGTAACCAGGATTAGATGATGATGATGATGATGATTGGAAGGGCATGTTTTAGCACAAGTCTGCAAATGCTGTTTCTTCCTTACAAATTAGATTAGTTGATGCATTAATTATATAAGCATGTAATGTTCAATTCGCTGATTAATGACCCTAATGCCATGGTTTGATAGAAGTAAGAAACAGAAATGAGGGATAATTCTCAAGGAATTTCATTCCTATCAAACCAGAGTATAAATGTTCAATTGACAATCTGATCAAAGCTTGAATAATATAGAATGGTTACTGTTTAGTTGGGCACTAGCTGCTTCTAGTTGTTGCTGGTGTCGTGCCTCTCATTTCTTTTCGTTGATGGTTTTTTTTTTGATAGAAATATAAAATTCGTTAAGAAAAAAGAGAGTATACATAGAAGAGTCCAAACTGGGAGGATCATTCAGCCATACTTTATCCTCAAAGCCAAGAAGCATTAACAAGCCCCATTCAATAAAGAAACTGCAGAAAGTCCGATAAGACAGCAGTTGACTTTAAACCCATCTCCACCATAAAAAGTAAAGCTTTCTAAATAGCAAGCAAATCCAGTAGTACCGCTATCACAAAATATAAAAACGGAATCCTGATGCACTCTTGAACCAAGAACAAACTTACCAGAATCATTGATTGAAGCATTATTTATGCTCGTTTTCAAAAGAGTCTCTCTACTAAAGAACCCTGAATCTTAGCAAACAAACGATTACGATCAAATCTTTTTCCCTTTAAAAACAAATTTCTAGTTAGCTACACATGATAAGAAACAGCTGCCACCCATTTAAGAAATAACTCCTCATACCTAGACTGTAGAAAAGGACAAGGCCTCCAAAATAAAAGAAGAAACACTAAAACCAAAGCGAGTTCACAAAGAAAATAAAAGCGAGACAGCTCTCACAAAAGGGMAAAAGAAAAAAAAAGGTGAAGAATAGTCTCCTAAGCCCAATTACAAAAAACACAAACACAAGAAACATTAAAACCAGACAGCTCTCCAAAAGGGCAAATGAAAAAAAAAGGTTTAGAATTGATGTATAACTAAAAGAATGAACTTTCGGCTAGGCAGTTACATGGCAGCTCATTAGGTAGTTAGTGGTGCTGAAGACACCTGCATCAGTGGTATCAGAGCATCGGTTCTGGCACCAATGGCGGAAGGAACTCGATCACAAGATTTAAGGAGGGTTGAAAATCTCTCGAAACCCCTAATTAGGGAAAACTTTGAGAAACATAATGAAGTGGTTTCGAGTGCTGTCTAAAAGTATGAAAGGCCATGGAAGCAAGGCATCGAGAGGATATTGAATCCTTGAAAAACTTGATGATGAACTCAGATCTACATGAAGAACAGATTAACTAGAGACCCTCCAAGGTGGGAGGAGTATGTGAGGGCACTTAATATTAGATTTGGGAGCACAGTCTATGAAGATCCCATGTCTGAACTTCTAGACTTGAGACAGGCTGGTTCCGTCCAAGAGTATCAAGAAGCTTTTGAAGAATTGCTTAACCGAGTGGAAGTATGTGAAGAATATGCAGTCAGTTGCTTCCTCTCTGGCCTTAAAGAAGATATACAGATGCCTGTGAGAATGTTCATGCCAAAAACCTTGCATCAAGCTTTGAGCTTAGCAAGAATTCAAGAAGTCACAGTGGGTGTCTAAAATAAAAGAAACAGAAGCTCTTCGATAACCACTTACTCCTTTCCTTCTATCTCATCCCCAATCTTACCTAACCCTTCAAAAACCCACAATCTTACTCTGAGTAATCCATTGCCTAAACCAATCTTTGTTCCAAACTACACTCTTCTAAACATCCCAACTCCACAATCAAAACCACCAGTAAACTCCTAACTACTGAATATATGGATGAAAGAGGAGCAAGAGGTCTCTGTTTTTGGTGTGATGAGAGGTTCACACCAGGTCACATGAAAGTATCAAGACTTTTTATGAAGATTTTGAAGGAGTTTCTCTCAACTTACCATTTCTTAGTTGCTTCCAAACTAAAAATATGTAAGGTTCAAACTTGACATATAGGTTAAAGGGTTTGAATATGATAATGGAAAGACATGATATTGGAAAAAACTTGCAAGCAATCAACTAGCATCATAAAAGTAGGAACCAATCAGGTTGGTTTTCACCAAAATTCACGACGGGTTGTGATTGGTCAAAGTCATTTTGGTATAATGTCGTTTGGCATCATAGATTTTCTCATTAATAAATTGATCCATAGGCTCGAGCCTGAGATAACTAATTGAACTACATGTGAATCAATAAATGGAGGTGCTTTGATTGTATAAAGAAAATATAAAAGGAAATCTAAAGGAAGCACCTAGCACCTATTCAAAAACAATTGCTGAGTTGAGTAGGTAATTGTGCATAGGGGTGGTCATGAGCTGAGCTTCTCACGAGCTATTCAAGCTCGATTTATGAAAAAGCTCAGCTCCCGAGCCTAATTGTGCCTAGTATAATAAATAAATAATTTTTATTATACATACATATAAATATAAATATAAATATAAATATAAATATAAATATAATATTTTTATTTTTTTTATGTATAATAGTAAATAAATTTTATAGTTCTTATTTTTTTGTATGTAAAATTAAAAATTACTTTTATATGTATAATTTTTATTTTTTAGAAAAAGCTTGGCTTGTAGTTGAAATCGAACTTGTGAGCTTTTGAACTGAGCCGAGCTCGAGCTTAAGTTTCTAGCTCGAATCGAGTTTGAGCTCAAGCTCAAGTCTCTAACTCAAATTGAGCTCGAACCTAACACTATTTCTACGAGCCGATCTCGAATAGCCAAGTATTTGGCTTAGCTCGGCTCAAATACCCTAGTTGTGCAAATGAAGAAAAGAACTTGGAATTGTGTCATCTCCAAACCATTGACATAGGATTTTATTAGCGGATGGCCAGTGGTTGATGCCCATCAAATTGTCATCACAACTGTAGCTGACAGATAATTGATCTTTGGCCATCTGCTGGTAAATATCTACACCAACAGTTAAGAGACCTAAGCTAGTGGTTTGGGACTGCTGACACAGAGTTTCTTTGAAGAATGTAAGCAACATGGGGTATGGTTATTTTTCAAGCTGCAGCCTGCAGGTTACCTCATTTTTAGTGTCATGTGCTTATTTTTCATTGTAAAAAGAATGAGGCCCATAACAAGAATGTTATAATCAAACAAACTAATGTCATTCATTCTTGTTCAATCTTGTTCAGAAGGAGTAAGAATTGAAAGAACGAGGCCTGTAACAACAACCCGGCCTAATTTAACCAACAACCCTTTCTCTTGGGCTTTTTGTTTGTCGTAAAAAGTACTACCACCATCACTCAAAGGCATCACACCAAACATGCTTAGAGGCTTATCAGCTGATTACTGTAATACCCAAATATCCCTCATTAATTGAGAACCGAGCTACCATGCATTTTCCTATCTTGATGAAGAAATGCTCTAAACTTGAACTAAATTTAGGGCCTGTTCGTTTCTTCTTAATTCTTATTTCTTAAGAAGAATCTTTTAAATTTAAGAGAAAATTGGTTGTTTGTTTCCTATTATCTCTTATCTCTTAAAGTGCAATCATACAACTTTTTGTTTTCCAATGATACCCCCAAAAAAACAAACAAAAACTCTCATATATGGGGTCAAAATGGATATTTAATAGCTTTCAGAATTCAGAACAACATTCTCTATATTTAAAGTTCAGAGGAAAGAAATGTTCACCAATATATAAGACCTGGGAAGCTGGATTGGTGGTTCAACCAGGCAGTAATCAATCGAACCAGTCAAACCCCATCAAAATCTATATAGGACCTGGGTCCATTATGGTTTGAAAGCACTGGTAGTAACAACTAACAAGTTCCGACGACGGGCTTGAGCCCAAAGTGATAGGATTAATTTGGTAATTTGCGTTTAGGGACCAATTTCATCTGAGTCGTCAAGGCTGCTAGTTCAACTTTATTTTCATAAAGTGGGTTGGTTGTCTTCCTAAAATAGTTGAAACTGTCAATAGGACAGCTAGTTAACAAGATCTGATATAAGTAATAGAATTAATGCAAAACACAAATACACAATTAATATCAAGTAGAATGAACAAGGTGAGTTGAGTTCCAGTGGCACACTTGGAAACTAGCTTGGCCCACTGATCTTGAGATGAGACAAAGTTGGAACTTGACTCTGGAATCATGCCCCAAGCTGACTCAGGGTGTCGAGCTGGGAAGCTGTGCCCCCATCAAAAACATTAGAGATGGTCTGTAACCTGTTAAACCATCTACTCCAGACTCCAGAATGGCCCCAGGCTGTGTAGAGTCAAAGTCCGCCTGAGCTTAGTCAGTGCCACCGCCCACCGTCACATTTTGCTTTAAACAATTGAACCTGATTGAATCATTTAATGCAGTAGTAGACAGTAGAGAGGTAGATGGGATTGATCGAACTGTTGTCATTGATGAGCCAACCGCAAGCACAACCACAACCACAAGGCCGCACCTGTGAGTTGTGACTTGCGAGCGTACAACTTGACCAGTCTTATTTCTTCGTGGTTGTGAATCAGACACAACAGATAGACACCGGCACAAGCAGGCGCAAGCCAGCGCCATGCACGCCCAAGTTTAGGCGTCTATGCCCACGTTCCAGCGTGTGTATGACGGATGTGCTCAACACCTGCATTTTTATATACGTATATAAAATAAC